AGCTTGTCAACATCCTTCCTAAAATGTGGTGCCCAGAACTGGACACAGGACTCCAGGTGAGGCCTGACCATAGCAGAATAGAGTGGAACTGCCACCTCCCGTGATCTGGACACAATGCTTCTGTGAATGCATCCTAAGACTGCATTCGCTTTCTTCGCAGTCACATCGCACTGCAGGCTCCTGTTTCGCTTGTGGTCAACCAGAACACCCAGATCCCTTTCACATGTTCTGCTGTCAAGCCAAGTCCCTCCCATTCGATATCTGTGCCTTTGATTTTTTGTACCTAAGTGTAGGACTCTGCACTTTTAATTCTTCTTCAGATACAGTGAAACATTCTCTTGTCTCTGGACTCAAACTTGGTTCTGCTGCTTCAGACCAACATGGCTACCCACCTGAATCTAATACATATTGTGATATATAGGATTGATTCAGGTGAGGTAGCCATGTTGGTTTAAAGGAGCAGAATAAAGTTTGAGTCCAGGGGCACCTTTAAGACCAACAAAGTTTAACTCTGGGGATGAGCTTAAGTGTGCATGTACAACACAAACGTCGCCCTGCATCACTGTTTTCCAACAGGACTCACAAATGCAATGAACGTTTTTAAAAAACAGAGACAACTCCTGACAAAGACTTCCACCAATGCTCCTGTGCCCTCAAGCCATCCCTAAGTTTCAGCCGTTCCAAAACTCATGTAAGATAGTCACCTACAAGACCAGTCACACCCACACTTACACAAATACAAGCACAGGTTTCTCACAAAGTCGGAGTTAACACGCTCCTCTCACTGCCTTCCCCGTCTCTCTGCAACAGAGGACCAACCACTCCCAGGGACAGGGGACAGGACATAGCAATCAGGAACAACAGTTGCACAAGCTATGGAACAACCTAACCCCTGGAGGACAACTCTCCTAGGCTCTTCTAAGTAGCTGGAGACAGCTTCAGGCACTGGTCATTAAGCCAGAGGTGGGCATCTGTTGATGGGGAGAAGTCACTACACGTTAACCAACGCTTAGGTAAAAGGTAAAGGTTCCCTTGCTCAAAAGCCAGTCGAATCCGACTCTAGGGTTGCGGTGCTCATCTCCGTTTCAAAGCCGAAGGGCCAGCGCTGTCCGAAGACGTTTCCGTGGTCATGTGGCCGGCATGACTAAACACCAAGGCGCACGGAACGCTGCTACCTTCCCACCGAAGTGGTACCTATTTATCTACTTGCAATTTCTCGCTTTCGAACTGGTAGGTTGGCAGGAGCTGGAACGAGAGACGGGAGCTCACTCCATCTTGCGGCACACTCGGGTCTCAAACTGCTGAACTACTGACCTTCCACAGCCTGCAGTTCAGCGTCTTAACCACTTGAGCCACCGCAGCTCCCCAACGCTTAGTACCAAAGAAAAGGGCCTCTGGTGAAGGCTCAAGGAGCATCAGAGATCGGCATAGGAAGCGGCATCCTCCAAGCCTCACTCAGTTTTACTTTATTACCACATAAAGGGTCACTTCTCAAGTATAGAATCATTGAGTTGGAAGGGACCTCTTAGGGTCGTCAACTCCAACCCCCCCTGCACAAGGCAGGAAATTCACAAATACGCCCCCCCCACACACACACACACGCCCCCAGTGAACCGCTGCTCCAAGC